AAGGTTATGCTCTCAGTGTGGTAGGATTTTAAAAGTGTAGTGTTTTTTGAGCTCCTATCAAGGAACCAAACAATCAATTCAAATGTGTACTGTCGGCAATTGGACAGTTTGAACAAATCCATCATCCAGAAACATCCAGAGCTCATTAATTGTAAAGCAGTTGTGCTCCATCGTGACAATGTGAGACCACACACAAGTTTGATCACCTGTCAAAAATTATTGGAGCTTGGATGGGATGTGTTGCCACACCCACCCTACTCGCCTGACCTTGTGCCATCAGACTTCCACTTGTCTCGCTCTCTTCAAAACTCCTTGTATGGCATAACATTCAATTTAGATGAGACTGTAAATCAGCACCTTGTTCAGTTTTTCACAAATAAAGACAGGTCCTTCTATGAACGAGGAATTATGAAGCTCACTGAAAGATGGCAAAAGATTATCGAACAAAACGGGCAATATATCATTTGATTGATCTTGGTACTTTATATAAATAAATGACCTTTGAAAAACATAAACAAAATACGTTAGGACTTTTCCGACAACCCAAGAGAATAGTGCCGGGCACACAGTAGACAGATCAGTACATATTTGTGGTGAATGAACGAACAAATAAATAGCAGTATTATTGATATGAGGAAATGACTGGAAAAACTACTTCTTTTAAATCTATTAAGCAAAGTTTAAATGTTTGCCTTCTTTTTGACTAATAAGTTACTTGAGGAAGCAGAGAAAATTTTTAAAACTCATGCTATTAATTTTGTATATACAATCAGAAGTGGGTCACACATTTGACCTACCTAAAAGTGGGTCTCTGAAAAAATAGAATGTGGCAACCTAAATATTTAAGGCCTTTTAAGGATGTCATTTTGAGGCCTTAGAATCTCTTAAATCTGGTCTTTTAAAAATATTTTATCTTACCTTTTGTTATTCCTCCACAAGCACCAGGGCCAGCAACAAAGGTAACAAATGAATAATCTAAGAGGAGAAAAGGTGCTCATTTGCTTTGGTGACATTTTGGTATTCCTGGGATGTTTGTAAAGCAAAAAATTTTTTCCTTCCTCTCATTCTCTCTTTCCTTCTCTCCCTCTCTCTCTTTCCTTCTACAAAACAAATTTTAAGTGGTTTTTCCATTTCCAATCTCCTTATCTGAACCAATAGCATCATTTGTGGACCAGCACCAGGAACAGGAAGGCAGATATAGAAATTATTGACTAATGAATGGATAATGGCCTGAGGAGCAATAGAGTATTTTAATAAAGAGTAGCATACTCTATGCAAGGATTTCCCTACACTAATAATAATCTAAATAATAAATAGGAACCTATTTGTATTGTTTCTTATATGGGTAATTAAAAAGCAGCATCTGTTTAAATACTCACCAACCCATACAAAGATATGTAAAATCATGCCATATATTTTTAAAAAGTAATCTAAAAGAAAAATAAATTTCAAATGTTACACAAAAACATATTGTTATGTAATAAGCATCATTGAAAAATAAAATTATAGATAATTCTAAAATAAAATAATCTTCATTATATAATTCAAATTACTGGGTGATTTATATCATGCATACCTTGAAGTGCAGAAAGGCATTTTAAAAAAAATTGGCTATGACATTTCCCATACATAGTGTTATAAAGTATACTCAAATAGCAGAATTGCTTAAAATCATTCTCTAAATAGAATTACTACCAAATATATATATTAAATTTAATGAATAATTATCCTGGAATAAGAAAAAGGCCTGAGGCTTATTTTAGTAATACTGTTTTTTGTTTTTATTTCCCTCAGTGACCCCCTCTATTTCCAGATATGGATGTAAGTAATCAATCCTCCACATAAATCCTTTTATTTTACTTGCTTTGGAGCCATAAGCAGAGTTCACTGGCAGTCAGGATGCATTGTGTGTCTTTTCTTTTTGAAAATTAGACCACCTTTTCAACGGTTATATTCTCTCATGCAACTAAGAAATTTTCCTGCTCATCTAGACTACACTGTGATCTACTTCCTTTCACCTCAGGGGTTACTTCTCAACTCCCAGGCACTGGCTTACCCCATTTTGACTAAATTCTTGTCCCCAAATTATTGACCTTTATAATGACCTACCTGTGGCCTTTTCCTCACAGGAAGCAAGGAAGCAATTTTGGTATTACCTACTATATACTTCACATTAATTAAAAATGACAGAACTTCGTCTGCTCAGGACCCTCTTGTTCTAACTGGTGAGCCTCTTCTACAATTCTACTCACGTGTTCCCCAGACAGTTCTATGGTTGGAGCAGTGACAATGGCAAAGAAAGGCCATGGAATTAGTGACCTAAATGCACCAAATGTAGAACTTTGGTTTTTATATAGGGATTTAGATTGAAATGTTTTTGATATTTCATCACTTCTCCTAACAAGTAATTCAGTCCAACTATTCCTAAAGCAGGAGATGGAATAGCCAGATAAACAAATGGACAGACATTCCTTCTCTCGAACTATTTAATGGATGGGTCTTTGTCAGGACAAGTAACTATCAAGCAATGAGTGATGGCTATTTAAGATGCATAAAACCATTTTAATCCTATGTATTTTAATCTTATATATTTTCAATTTGTACCCAACAAGCTGTCTTTAAGCACAGCCCCAATTCAAGGTGCTTTGAGCCACTTCAGTTCAGCCCCTCCAGGTATGGGCACAGAAGCTTCCTCATCACACCACCAGTTGTCCAGGGCCCTACCCTCCTTTCCTTGGTCTGGAAGGGCATGGAGGGGATGTCCATGTACAAGCATTAGTCGCGGGCAATCAAAGCCCTCGGGCACAGAGGGGTCATTCCTGAGTAGTTAATATTAAGATGCTAATGTCGATGAAGTGGAGCTAAGAGGGTTGCATCCAGGCCCCAGGTGGCCTCCAAGACCTCCACTGGTGCCTTTTGTGGTCAGGAAGACCAGACATCCTAGTTTGTCCAAGACATTCCAGTTCCTTCCTATTGTCCCTATTATCCTAACTGGTGCTTTTCACTCTGAAGTGTTTCAGTTTGAGCAATCAATTTACATGGTGACCCTATTTATGGTAGAACTTTGCCAAATTTACCCATGTAGGAAGATTTTTAAAATATCAGCTCCCTGGATCCCAGTTCTCCTTTCCACCCTATGATTAACCTCCCTCCTTTCTCTCCTGACCCTGGTAACCCTACTAGGGTTTAAATCCAGGTTCCAACACTTACGAGGTAATCTTTGCAGTTACTTAAGATCTCCATGCTTCAATTTTCCCTGCAAAATGTGGTTAACAGTACTTATCCTACCTGTGGTAAATAGTAAACACGCCAATACATGAAAAGCACCTAGATCAGTGCCTAGTAATTGCTTTTAAGATGTAATTACCCGTTTTACAGTTGAGGACATTCAAGGTCAAATGGCTACTGGTGATGCGATCTATACCCAAGTTTTGAGTCTAATGCCACACTTTGTCACACCTCTACTGCTGAAGTGCTCTCCTATATATAATAAACAGTAATAGGCCAATGAATAATATGGGAACTACTTTATCATGTGACACCATAGAACAGGCATGTTTACAGCTGCCTAACCAGCGCAGATACGAATAGGGAACATGGCTCAGAAATAGCAATATGATTGATTCAAGTATTGATCTTTGATAGTTTTGATTTACCAGTTTTAAAATGCAATTTTATATTGAGTTCTTGTTTTCTTTGAAAGAACTGTTTTAAACTAAACTAGGTATAGTCACATAATGAAACTAAATTTGAAAATAAGCTTAAAAATTTCCCATCTCAATTTTTTTAATATTACAAATGCCTCATTTCATCTTCAGGCTGACTTCCTCAGCCTCCTCCATACCATTTCTAGGGGACTCCCTTGGTAGTGAATGCCTATCTTTCCTCAGAGACATTGATAACTTGGAATTTTTATCATATTCCCCAATATTCCTACAAGATAACTTGGAATTTTTCTTATCACATTCCCCAATATTCCTACAAATAATACCTTCTGCTCTTTTAAGATATGCTTCTTATTGGCACGGCAGAAAAACACAACACTAAGGTTCTGAAAACCTGAACTCTGGGCCCAGCTATGTCATAAAGTACAGGATAATCTTAAATAGATCATAAAACTTCCCCAGGCCTCAGTTCTCAATGGCAAAAAAATGTCGTGTTTGTTCAGTCCTTTATCTTATCTTCACAGTAACCCTTAGATTTAAGTAAGGCAGCATTATACTTTTACAGAGGAAATTCATCTCAAAGAAGTTACACAATCCACCCAAGATCTCACAGGTAGTTATATGACAGAACTAAACTTACACAACTTTTCTCAAGACCCTAGTACTGGCATACACTGTGCTCCTAAGTTTGTTAAATGAACGAAGTAACTATTTCCCAGGTCCCCTCCAGTGATAACATTTTATGCTTCTACTAGCTGTTTATATTCTCGTCTTTCAACAAGCATTTAATTAGAAAAAATATATATTTGGTCACCAAGTTTCATTTATCAGGGTTCTTTGATTTAACCACTCTTTAACATTTTCTTGTATTTCTATATTAAGTCCAGAGAACAGTTATTTTTTTTTTAGATAGTTCCCAGTACTACCTGCCTCTCTGAAAGCTTTTGAGCTTACCTGTTTCTCAAAGCAGGTTGCTAAAATTTTATAAACACCAATTCCTTTTTATAATTTTTAAAAGCTATTTCATATGTAAAACCAGTTCAAAACCAAATAAGTCATTAATTCTTACTCCCTGTACTAGTAAAAATGTATTTTCTGTTGTCTTCTGTCTGCCTATCATTGGAAAACACTGTTTTTCTACCTCACTGTCAAGCCTCCCTTTCCCTAATAAAACAAAGACAGTCTTAAGAGTCAGGAAAGCTCTCACTTTCACTATTCTATGGAAAGAATAAACTAACCACCTAACTTGGAAGATGAAGCTTCAAATGCTAAATGAGGAACTCGGGACATTTCCCAAGAGGCCATATGAACAATTTAATAGCTAATGACATGATGTGCCTAAAATAACACATTCACTTTTTTATTTGTAAAAAATTGATACAAGTGCTGTTTAATCATGATGATATTACATATGAACACTTGCCTAAACAAAAGTTTAAAAGAAAAAATTTATTCTATTATTAGTCCTGAAAATTTAGCAGAGCTCAATAAATAGATGAAGGGAGCTTTAAACATTCAGTAATTTATATAATTTAACATGCTAAAAATGGGGAAATAAACAGGGCATGGGAACAGGGAATACATATCGGAAAAGTAACTTCAAGATTTCCTTCATTTTGATTGTATTGCTTTCTTGTCAGGAGGGAAGATTTTGACTTCAAAGGTAACAAAATATTTGAGAAGGGAATTTACATCTTTCTGTTCTAGATGGTATTCTTTTGCTATTTTCTCAGCAGTCCATGTTTCCGGATAAAGTTTATGATTATTGAGAAGTGTCAATGCCTCTACAATGGAAATTTTGCCTTTGGGAATGTTCTCGATATTCATGTCAAAGTGATTGCCTTTTGGCAATCTGTACTCCTTTGGTTCCGGACGTGTTCCAGCATCTTTTGCCTAAGATCAAAAGACAAAAACAAACAAAATGGCTTTCACGATGCAAAAAGATTTAACATGTACATTCACGCTTCTCAAATCTCCACTATTATTCAAATCAATACTAGCTTCTCCAAGCTACACTTTCTCATTATAATGAGCCATAGTTCAATGGAACTTTTCCACATCACCATATCATAACTATAGCTCAATCATCATGAAGAAATTCAGGTAGTTCTAGAAAATAATACGCGAATCCACTCACCACATTACTTCATGTATATTAAAAGAACAACGAATTGATTAGATTTAAAAATGCTTTAGAAGGGCAGGACTCTAATGCTGCCCTAACAGTTTACTTGATAATCTCTATTCTGTTTCCTAGTTTTGCATTTCATGTGCAATGCCTCCAAACACTCTGAATTTAAATATTGCTAGAGATTCTGCTTCAGAGAAAATAAACAAATGCTTCTAATAGTCCAATAAATATAAATAAATCGAGGCACACCCATCTTTCCATCTGTCCCACCCAAGCTGAATCCCAGCATTTGTACTCTGTATTTCATTCCTGTTTACCTAGTTATGCTAATCATTCAATCCCTTTTCCTTTACACTGCACCCTGCCTACTGCTACTGCTTGGTCCAAATATAAAATGCTGTAGTCACTACCTTTAAAAAATACCCACCAAACCCAAACCTAACACTTCCTTTATGACCAGCTTCCCTCTTTTCAGTTAAGCTTTAAAAGATAATGATTTTTGTGATCTCTCATCCAGAGGATTATATCTTAACCCAGAGGACATTTTTCAGGCTTTATCTGAACTCACTACAGCATCTGATCCGATGACCACTCCAGCATACCTTTAACTATCTTTCCCTTTGGTTTCCATGACACCCCTCTCCTAGTTTTCCATCTGTCTCTCCAGTGGTTCCTTCTTTGTTTTCTTTGTGGACTCTTTCCCTTCAGCTGCCCCTAAATGTTAATGTGCCCCAAGTTATGGCCCAGGCCCTCCTTTCACTCTATACATTTCCTAAGTCATCCCACATGTCACCCAAACTTCCATTACTACCTACATCTTAATTACTTTCAAACCTGATCTCAAACCTAGACCATTCTCCTCACTTCCAGACCCAAATTCCCAAATGCCGAATAGGCATCTCTACTTGGGTAATCTACAAGCACCTCAAAATCAACATGTCTAAAACTCAACTTATCCCTTTCCTCTGAAAACCCAATTCTATCCCCACGTTCTCTATCTCAGTGACTCACACCACCCACCCCCCATATCCCATTCCAAAACTCAGAGCTTCTCTGATGTCATGTTATACCTGATATCTCCCTCTCCCTCACTCATTACATCCAACCAATGACCAAATCCTATCGATACGGCCTCCTAAGTCCCTCTAAAAGCCATTTATTTGTCTCCCAGTCACTAAATCAATTCCCCATTAAGAAACAAATCTTAACGTCACTTTCCCACATGAAACTCTTCAATAATGTCCCATTGGTATAAATTATACCAAATTCCTTGGCAAGACAAATAAGGACCTTCGTGATCAGCCCCATCCCACCTCACTTCTGCCAAATTCAGCCCTCACACTTTCTCCGAACTGTGCTGAACTCTAACCATTCTCCAAAGGTGTAACATAGTCTCCTACCTTTATATTGTAACTTTGGCCTGAAACACTTTCCCAACTTCTTCACTTTCCAAAACCAAAGCTCCTCTTATCTTCCTATTCCCAAGTAGATCCTCCTTCTACTCCATAGACTTTTATTAAGATTTCCCTTCTGATTAATTCAACATTCTCTCTTGATTTAAAAACAAAAAAACAAAAACTCTTAGCAAATTGAAAGTAGAAGAAAATGTCCCAAATATGATAAAAGTATTTTTAATCAGAAACCATATCATTTTATTATAATTAATGCTGAAACATCAGAAGCGTCCTATGTAAGGAAATTACAGGAAAGGCTACCAACTTTTACTGCTATGCTAATGCTATAGACAACACAGTAAGAATTAGGTATAAATACTAGAAAGCAAGAAAAAAATGTAATTCTATGCCAATGATATGAGACTATCTTTAGAAAAAATAAGAGAATCAACTGAAAAACTAATAAATAACCTAGCAATGTGAGCAGCTACAATACAAAAATCACTCACTTTCTGACATATTAGCACTAAACAGTTAAAAAACTTAGGGTGAAAAAAGAAAGATCCCATAGCAACAACCTTCCTTCTATCTCCCAAAGACTCAATAATACAAAGAAGTTAATTCTCCTCAAATTAATCTATAAATTCCAATTCAGCTACACTCAAAATCCAAACAGGACATTATTTAAGAACCTGACAACGTGCCCCAAGTTCATCTAGAGAAAAAAAAAAATGTGACAAGAGCCAAGAAACTTTTGAAAAGAAACAGAGGAGGTTGTAACAGATATCAACACACGTTACAAAGCTCTATTAATTAAAATAGTGTGGTTCTAGGGTACAAATAGAAAGATAAATAAATAGAACCAACAAATCCATAAACAGAAACCATCCCTGATCCTCCAATCTCAAACAGGTCCCCCTGACAGACTCACGTGCCTGTACTTCTCCTCCACAGACCTGTGCGTAATTCCGTGCTTATGATTGGATTGCTCGTGTTTAATGCCTGTCCCTCACAGTACTAGAAGCAGTGTGACAACAAGGACTAGGTCTGTTTTGTCACTGCATACAAAGCACCTGTGCTTGGCATTTATATATGGATTTACACTTAAGTGCCCATTCGCAAAACATTCTGTGATCTTGCTACTTTTACATATATCTGAACATATCCTTAAAAAACAGAAACAAAAAAACCCACATACAACACTAACGGAACCCCTGAGATTAGAACGTACCGCAATACAATGAAGGGTGAGAAAAGAGTATTCAAGCTCTCCTCTCCTCATTCAAATGACACCCACTAGAAGTGCCTTATCAAGTCCTACAAATTCTTAACATCAAATACTTCACCCAGTTGCCTTCAATCAATACTTAACACAAGTCTTTCAGAACTTCGGTAAATAACCAGTGAACCAAGGCACGTGTGTCTGGCTTAGATCACTGTATTCCGGGTACAACTACACTAACATTCTGACACTTGCACAGCACCTCACTCTTTTACTCTTTGCCACACTTTTCTTGACCATTTTCCAGGAGCCCCCCAAAGGTGACTTTATTTATTTACTTAATGAAAGCACACATTACCTGCACAGGATCTTTGGAATCAACATATACATCTTTTAGCAATGACAGCAGTTTGTCATCTTTTCTATCAATTTCTTGCTTAATATCTGGATGCGCTAAGGAAAGAAAAAGAATGTCACAATACCAAAACCAAAGAAAATTCTAAGATTTTAAACACTTCATACACGGCACTTTTACTTTTTTAAAGAAACAATCGCTGGGCCGGCCAAGTGGCTCCGTTAGTTAAGAGCTCGCTCAAGAGTGCGAGCTCTGAGCAACTAGATCGCTGGTTCGATGCCCAGCCCGAGCTGAGCTGCAGCTGCGCTGCCAACAGGTGGCAGGATGGCTCAGCTAAAAACAGGGGGGAAAAAAAGAAAAAGAAACAATCCCTTGGGCAGTACGGAAAATAAATGAAAATAGTTAAGTCAGGCTCGGCCTCCATCGCTCGGTGAAGGCATCTAAAGAAAACTTCCGCTGCACAGGATCCCTTTTGATTTTGGTTCCCTGAAACAAGTGGCGAGGCGTTAAAGGCACAAAGCCGGCGAGAACAGGTCAGCGGAGGCACAGGCCGTCACCTCCGGGGCGACCAAGTAAACGGAGCCGCCGACTCCATGGCGAGCGCAAGGGGACTGGCTCAATGTCACCGGCCTGGTGGCTCCACCTTCCCGCGCTCGGCTGACCCGAGCCACTGCGGCCGGCCCTGCTCGCCCCGACCACTGCACCCGCGTCCACCGGCGGGAACTGCCCGGCGGCACAGAGATCCCCGCGCGGCCCCCACACGCGCCCTCGCACCCTCACCGCTCATTTGCTCTCGCAGGAGGCTCTTGGTGGAGGGGTGCCTGGGAGCGGGGGAGGGCTTCATCTTGCTGATTTCCCGTTCCGCCCGGTTCTCTAGGTTGAAGTTCCTGATTGCGCGAGCCACCGAGGCCCCCATCTCCTCACAACATGATGCCCTCCGATTACTAACGCACGTGGGAAAACACCCCAGCGGGCGACCTCCGGGACGAACCACGCATGCGCACGTTTGGGGTCGAGCCGGTCGCGCGCCGGAGAACAGGCACTAAACGCGCGCCGTTTGCCCCCTAGCGGTCGGGAGGGCAAACGCCGCATCTCCGCCCGGAGTGTATCTAAGCGACTAGGTCCCGCGGGCCGCGGCTGCCGGGGGAGGGGACGTGGTTTAAGGCTCAAACCCACGGATGGTCTCACCTCTGGAAACTCAGTGAGTCAGCCGGGGAGCTTTAAAACAACCTGCCGTGCAGACTTGCTGATTTAATTCACCTGGAGTGAGGCCCTGCATTGATTCAAGCTTCCCACGTGATTCCAAAGTTGCGGGCTGAGTAGAGAAAGTCGTAAGAAGTTGACCTTGAAGTCCTGTCATGGTTCCATGCAGCGAAAGAGGACGCTAATAAAAATGAAATTGCACCAGGATAAATGAAGGTTCGAAAATTGCCCTTTCCTGCTTTTGGGACAGGAACATAACAGAAGTGTATTCATGTTCGATGAATATTTGTTCTCTGTCACTCTGTTATTTAAGTGCCCCTTTTTTTCTTGTCCCCTTTCCTGCTTCATTCCTGAGCCACGGTGTTCCCTTTTCCCTAGATCTTTTACATCCCGCTGTCATCACTCATTTGACCTAGTTGTATCGATTTTAGTTTTGCTGCCTTTTCCTTTCTCATTAGTTTTGATACTAATTTGTGTTATTTCTCCACACTATTAAGTGCTAAATCACCGCGTCATTCCCATTTTTCCTGCTTTCTACATTCCTTTTAAGCCAGGGAGACTTCCGTGTAACTTAATGAAAGGAACAGCCAATATGATATTTAAAAAAAATAAGTGTTCTCTCTTTTTTTTTTCTCATTGTTCTCCCCCCTCTCCCCCATTGCTGAATGGATTACTGTATGTCTGATTTTATTTAATATTCTTTATAAATATTATCATTAATCCATAGTACCAGAAAATAGCAGGGTTTCCAGTTACAATATTTTTCACAGACTGTGGCTGCAAATCTGTTTTTAGTGTTCCCAGATCTGCTTAGCAAATGAAGTTGGTGTTTTTAAGTAGTTAAAAGCAGGAAAAGAGTCCATGTCAACATAATCGAAGTAATAATTTTTTTAAAAGAATCAAAGTAAAGAATGGGCAGTTTTATTTAAAGAAAACTAATACAATTAGTAAATATATTTAATCACAGCAAAAGTACTACAAAGAGACTGGCTTCCACCATTGATAATATGAAACGTTTTTACTGGGATAGGTGTTTGGATTTTATAGAGGCTAACACCAGTGTTCCTTGGTAGAGTTAGTTGGGAAGTTATCCTGAAGGTGGCAGGCTACTCCAAGATTTCCATCTTTGAGACAGACATGCTGCTAACTTGGTGTTTTAGCTCAGGTATTCATATTTCCACGGGTGCCAAGAAATTTTCATCTGCCTCATTATGTCTGTGAGTTTCAAAACTTATGGTAGCAATTCCACTCACTACTATTATAATATTTTGAAAGTGAAAAACTCATTTTCATAGAAATTCCACCACACTTCTGGCAGCATGAAAAAGTAATGCTAGATAGAAGTTACAGGAAATGTAGGTTGCTGTGGGGATTACTGCATGAAAGAATTCCTTGGATTCCCACATTTAGGTAGAGTATAGATTCCACATTTATGGAACATCCAACCCGTGCCAGCTGCTTTGCCTGGTCCTGCCTGGTGCTGCTCAAGCCTGCAAAGAACAGAACAGAAGGCAACACACTCCACCAGAAATGCACACTTGGCTGTCACCCCTTGAGAATCATCATGGAACTAAACCCTGAACCACAAATGCATAATTCCAGCTCTTCTTGTCAAAACATGTAAATTAACAGGAAGTCTGAATTCAGAACTCCTGCGCTTATGTTAAGGGTTGAAGTCAGGTCCCCAAGGAAAGTATCACTAGGATGCTGCTCGGAATTAAGCATCTCTCTGAGTGGAGTGTTACGACGGGTATGGATTGCTAAATATCTTAGGGTACAAATAAAATAAACCCAGGGTCTTGCCAACACACTAGAATGTAAATTCTATGAGAAAAGGAACATTTGCTTTGTTCACTGCTGTATCCATCGCATTGAACAGTGGCTGGTCTCCAATAGGAACTTAGTACTTGACATTACTAACATATCAAGTAAGTCAGATGAACCCAAAGAGAAGCGGGGTCCCTGAGCTGGAGTCCAGATGCTGAATACCAGCCCCTATGCCAGAAGTGAGTCCTTGTGACTGTCACTCACTCTGTTGAAGATACTTTTCTCATTTTAAAATTGGGATGATAGTAATAATTATCTAATGGGTTTCACATTGTTTAAAAGATGAAGGGTGGGCCCGGCCGAGTGGCTCAGTTAGTTAAGAGCACACTCAAGAGTGTGAGCTCTGAGCAACAGGGTTGCCGGCTTGATTCCCGGCCCAATCTGAGCTGCCGCTGAGCTGCCAACAGGTGGCAGAATGGCTCAGCTAAAAAAACAAAAAGTGAATAAAAGATAAAGGGTTTACTACAGTGCCTAGCTCAGAATATGATATTCAGTATTTGTATTGCTTTCTATTTTCCAGAGTTGCAAAGAGAAGCTTGAAAAAGAACCAAAGATATCGTGACACCCTGGTCTATAGCTGAATGACAGAGAGAAAATACCTAAATATCTGAAAGTAAAGTAAGACCCATGTTCTTCAAGAATTCCATTTAAAAATAAGTATTCCAAATTTTATTTTTATATGCTAATTTTTGTGCTCTCTACATATGGTGGCATTGCTGGGCTCATTAAGGTTGGAGTTTGGGCGGGAATTATTAGCTCAGGGGCACAAAATGCCACCTGCTTTTGCCTGGCATTGGCAGCAGAAATACCCCCTAGCCAGTCCTCGCCTTGCTTCCCTCCCTCCTCAATTTATCTCTCTCTGCCTAGACTGTTACCTTTGCACACTCATTCCCTTGAACATAAATCAACAGCATTCTGTATTCTCCAGAGCATTGCAGTCACTAAACGCAGGTGACTGGTGACTCAAGGAGCCTAGGACAGCCCCCAGAGGTTTCACTGACCAAACCCCAACTATTATACTAGTGAGCAGAAGAGCAGATCTGGGAGGAATGGCTCATCCTGGCAGAAAGAACCAGGCCTGTACTCCAGCTCAGGAGCCAGGAATGAGTGAGTCCAACTGAGATCATTTACAAAGTCCCCAAGCTTGACCAGTTAGTTCCATATTGGTCAGTGTTGTAGGTTTGTGGAATATTAGGGGGGGAAAACCCCAAAGCCCAAAACAGAAACAAAGTAGACCTTGATCAGATCCAGTATTCATATTGAGAAACACTGGGTCTCATAGATAAAAATTATCAGTAAGCAATTTATACCCGGATGTCTGCTTTGTGACAACCGCACTCATGACTTTTGTCATTGTATGAGTTTCTGATTAGTGCTAACAAATTACCACAAAATAGTAAAACAGAACAAACTTATTATCTTTTACTTCTGGAGGTCAAAAGTCCAAAATGGGTCTTAGGAGGCTAAAATAAAAATGTCAGTACAATTATCTTCCTCCTGGAACCTCCAGGAGAAAATTCCTTGGGTTTTGTTTTGTTTGTTGGCTTCTAGAGGTCTACAACACTTCTTGGCAGCCAGTAATTGTATAATTTTACTGTCATCTTCTTCTCTATGAGTCTTCCATCTCCCTCTTTCCCTTACAATACTCTTGTATTATATATCTTGTATATATCTTGTATTACACTGGACCTAACATAAATCCATGGTAATCTCCCCATCTCAAGATCCTTCGTTTAATCAGATCTGCAAAATACTTTTTGCAAGTTTTAGAGATTAAGAGGGAAGTATTTTTAGGGCATTATTCTGCTCATTACAGTCATCATCTTGAGAAACTCACATCTACCTGTGTACCTATGATATGTACTAAAATTCAAAGAAAGAATGAAAGAAAGAATGCCTGCTATTCTTTATTCCACCCCATGGAGCTTATCTTCCAATGAAACTACCTAATTTTTCAAAGAATAAAACTGTCTTGCTTTGGCAGTAGTATTCCAGGCTTTGCCTCAGAGCCATAGTAGCTCACCAGTAAATTGCTACTGCTTCACCAGGTCTGTGGCCTCCCTGCACAGGGAGGCAGATTCTTCCTGTGTCCCCAATCTCTCATCTTCCTGGAGCACCTGTATCTGAGAAGCCTCAGTGAGCAAGAGTGTGAATCTCCCTTGTATATAAAGGAGCATGACTAGTTTCCCTAATTATGGCATCTAAGACATGCCAGAAAGTCTACCACTTTTCTTACTCTCCTTTCCTCTCCGTTATTTTCCTCTTGGCTTAGAATTTTACAATCATTCAGCCATTCCTTTCTTTGTGTTAAGATTGTTTTCCTCTTCTCTGCCTATATCCACTTTTAAAATGGAGGTACTCCTGGGGAAGGCAAGCCATTTGTGGAAGGGTTATCAGTTTTCTGAACTGTTGGACTGGAAGAAGATAGCTGCCTGAAAAGGGAAGGGGAGAGAGGGGAAGGAGAGGCTATTGGGGGAAATGGGGGATGAGAGAGAAAGGAAGAAAGGAGCAAGAGAATAGAGGCAGAGGTGGAAAGGGCGTCGACAGCCCTTACCATGTCCGAGGAGGCTCCTCACCCAGCTCCTCTCCCTACAGCTTCTTCTCCTGACATTTTCCTTGTACAGACTATTTAGAAATGAACATCGTTGACAGAAATGATTATCAATACCTGTGGAATACAGTCAAAACAGCATTGGAAGAAAATGTATGTGTGTTTCTACTAAATACATTTGTTAGAACACTGGAAAGATTAAAGGTAAATGAATTTGTATTAAGCAATCATGTCAAAACACAAGAAAAAGAATATCAAAAGAAATCAAAAAATTTTTTTAAAGGACTGAAGATAAATCAGAAATAAATTGCATAGAAAAAACCCCACTTAGTTCTTTGAAAATATAAAATCTGACAGCTCCAAGTAAAAATAGAGGCACAAATAAAGCCTCTTAGAATATTTTTGGAAAGAATATGATTACAAGTTTAGAAAGCTTTTTTTAATTGAAAGAAAATGATGTATACAAGTTTATATACAACTTTAGTATATATCTCCTCTCCTTGAGTGACTTGCTTCTAACCAATAGAATATAGCAAATGTGAATAGAATAGAATAGAATAGAATAGAACATAGATATAGGACAGAAACAATATAGAATAGAATGTGGTCACTCTCATGACTTCCTTATGTTAGATAAGACTCCAACTTGGGAGACAGGGAAGATTCTCCTATTGGTCTTGAAGAAGCAAGTTGCCATATCTTTCAGAGAGCCTGCAAAGAGGCCACTTGGCAAAGAACTTCAGGGGCATTTAGGACATGAGAGCAGCCCGCAGGTGACAGCTAGAAGGAAACGGGTATCTCAACCCCACAACCACAAGGAACTGAGTTTTGCCAACTGCCTTATGAGCCTGGAAAAGGATTCCGAGCTCCAGAAATTAATACAGCCCCGTTAATACTGTATAATCATTTCTATTGATTCACAAAAATATATATGGTTAAATTCAACACCCAATACTAGTAATAGATTTAACCAGCTAAAAATAGAAGGAAGATTTCTTTACTTGATAAAGTGTACATATCAAAAAATTATAGCAAATGCCATATTAAAGGGTGAAATGTTAGAAGCAAGCCTAGTAAACTCAGTGCCTTCCACTACTGGCCCTATTCAACCTTTTGCTGAAGGTTCTAACTGAAAGAACAAGAAAAGGAGTTAAGAATGATTCATTCTTTTGCAAAATAAGTACCTCTGTCTTGCTAGAAAATTTGAGAAAATCATTGAAAGAACTATTAGATCTTATAAAAGAATTCAATTAGTCAGCTGTCCAATGCATCAGTTAGAAAACATAATAGCCAAAAATATTCCATTGATGATGGCCACAAAAACTATTACGCACCTAGGAATAAACTTCCAAAAATTTGCAAAACCCAAATCAAGTAAACCACAAAATCTAGGAAAATCCAAAAAGGAACACACAGCTAGATATACCAGGTTCCTTAATGCAAAGTCTCAAGAGTGCAAAAATATCAATCCTTCCACAAATTAATCCAGAAATTTGATATGGTTTCAATTAATACTATAAAGTAAAAACTGACAACTGATACTAAAGTTTATCTGGAAGAGAAAATGAAAAAGAAGGCAACTAATTTTTGAAAAACAACCATGAGGAAGCACTTATCCTATATTAGAATGCAACGTAAAACTTTACAGTGTGATATTGATACAGTAATAAGTAAATAAATCAGTAAATATGGTAGTGACAAGACAGATCTAATTTTGTATAGAATGACATTTACAATCACCCTGCGATGGTATAAAAATCTAACTCCCCCAACCGCAAACAGATAGCCAGATTCTCAACCACATTTGTTTACCCATCTGCCATTTACTATCACTCTCCATTCTGATTCGTCACTTGGTTCCTCATCTCCTTTTTTCTCTCTAGTTTTCCCTGCATCACGTGGCTTTCATAATTTATCTGCCCCTACACATCCCCACATTCTTGCTTTTTATAGAAGTAAGGAACATTTCATTATGGCTTCATTTTGGTTTGATTCCAATCAGGTAACTTTGTTCTGTTCCAGCAATTGAATCAGTACAATAATTCTCCATCTTGGCGCCGGCTACAGAAGGTACCCCAACAATTTGGCAAAGAACAAAAAGTGCAAAGTCATAAAGAACAAGCAAATACTCAAGAACAAATTTTCATTTCAAGACTTCGGAAAACAGGGAATATGAAACAGAGAATTCCAGAAGGATCCAAGAATAGCTCTGAAAAGCAAATTGTAACTAGAGCAATTTACATTTGCTGTGAACCCAGCTCAATAGCTCCAGAGCTAGGATCTCTGATTGTTCTCTCTGTCTGTCTGTCCGCCTTCAGGTCTGGTCCTTTCTCCCTGATTACAACTGTTCTGACTTTTTCCTTAACAGCCACAGTACAAAATAGTGATTACACAGGCTTAGCACCAGACAGACCAGCACTGAATCTTAGTTCTACCTTCCTAACTGTATGATTTTGGGGTAAGTCCCTTAAATTTTCTGGTACTCAGTTTCCTCATCTGTACTATAGGAACACTAATACTACTTACCTGATAGAGATGCTGTGAGATATAATCCATGTGAGGGCATAGGATTTGGCATACAGTAAACATTCAAAAAGTGTTAGTTATTCTTGTATATAACAAACTATGTATATAACATGAAACATCTTAATAGTAATAACTAGGTTTGGTTAGCACTGTATAATTAAGAAATTAGTATTTTCAGATCCATTGTTTCATTACGACATTATTGCAATACTCTAGTATTTTATTCATATTACAGATATTTCAGAAGAAGCATTTAGATGCCTAATGTTTTTAAAATAGTGGATACCCTGGAAAGGTATCCACAACTTTTGGAAGCAGTTTCTTACTGTCAGCCCATGCCTTTGCAGGCACAGCTCTGCCTTTTTATCCCATAGTCTCCCCTTTTGCTAGCTTCTCCCTCCCTCTGTGTCTAGGAATCACACACCTCTCTCTAAACTTTAGTACACACAACCCCCTGCTGAGTCTCATCTCTTTTGGATGTGATACTGTTTGCCGAGACAGGGAGGCAGAATTCTATGACCCCTAGTTACCCTAAGCAGAGAACCCAGACAAGCCTGCCTGGACTTCTGACCTACATAACAACGAGATAATAAATGAATACTGTTTTAAGCCTCTAAGCTTGTGGTGACTAGTTATGAAGCAATCGAAAAAGTGGTGAACACACAATGTGATATATAGATGATGTATTACAGAATTGTACACTTGAAACCTATGTAATTTTACTAGTCATTGTCACCCCCAATAAATTCTTTTTTTTTTTTTTAAGCTGAGCCATCCTGCTACCTGTTGGCAGCTCAGCTGCTGCTCAGCTTGGGCTGGACTCGAACCGCTGTTGCTCAGAGCTCAAACTCTTGAGTGAGCTCTTAACCAACTGAGCCACTCGGCCGGCCCTCCCAATAAATTCTAATTAAAAATATATATAGCAGGTAGTCTGAGAGTAATATTGGGTATGAAGTAGGTGGCAGGGGATCCAGGCAATCATAAAGCCAGAGGAAGATGTGCCCCTGACCCTTGAACCTACAAACCAGGAGAGCTGAAGGATTGCATCCTCCCGTCACATCTCACTCAGCATATCAAGTGCCTGATAACATGCCAAAGCACAGAATGAAGCACTAGGGACAAAAACAAGGTCAAATCCTTGTGACTAAGAGTGACAATATTGTAATGCAATGTTATCACATGGGATCATTAACAGAAAGAATGCACTAGGAACAAAAACACAAGAGGGTAGTGGTAAGCATCCATGGAGTTGCACAACGATTTAGCCAGTAGAAGGGAAATGTCATGACTCATGCAAATATAAAAACATGTGTCATTGATTTTGTTTAACTCTAAATGAGGGAACTAGTAAGAAATACAACCAGTTAAAAGAATAAAAAAAACATGCCATCAGGAATTTAGGGAGGAAAGAGAGGGAGGGAGAGAGGGAAGGGGAGAGGGAGAGGGAGAGGGAGAGGCAGAGGGAGAGGGAGAGAGATTGAGTTAGGAAGGGAGAAGACAGCAAAATGGGATAAAACTATTGTTGAAGTCATCGCAGGTCAGTTGGTAGAGGTCTTTAAATGATGAAACATAGAGTTCATTAATCTCTAGGTGTGAAGGTGAGAGTCATAGACGTGTTTTAGAAAAATGATTGAATTGTCCCTGTGGGAGGTAAGCTTTTTGTCCAGCTTTCTTAGGGATATCTATTTCATAAGAGATCTTTCTTTAGACACATCTTCCATTTAAGCTGCATGAATAAACAGCAGCCTAGACAGAGGGATTTGGGATTCAGGGGCTGGAACATGAAATGCAGTTTTCTGTTTTAATATTCTCATGCCCCTCTTGGTGTCAGTAACCTTCTTTAGAGCCTTGGATTGAATAGAAGCTCAGAATATTCTGGTGCCACTCTGTGGACTTGCTGGTTCCTAACCCATGGCCACAGGCTCAGTAGCACTTACATTTCCAGAGAAAGCTAAAAATATTAGTTCTCTCTACAGAGCTCAGTAATGTGATTTATTAGGTTGTCGGAAAAGTCATGATGCATTTTTGCAATGAAAAACATAGAAAAAATACATCATGACTTTTCCGACAACCCAATATTAAATTAGTATGTGAGGTTTCTGTTTTTGTAAAAAAAAAAAAATAGTTCATGTACCTAGCTAGCTACCTTTTGATAAAGAGTTTTGAACATGTTTTCTGTAAGAAATTGTAAATGTTGCTACCAGTAAGAGATTGTCTTGTTACTAGCAGTGTCTTTGTTGGAAAACTAGTGGTAGCCCCTTTTTTAAAGTAACATTTGATTATGAAAATTTCAAGCATATTTAAATGTACAGAGTTTAGTGTAATGAATCACCATGTACCCTTCACCCAGTATCAATAATTACCAATTCATGGTCATTCTAATTTTTTCTATACACTGCATCTTCCCCTTTTCCTACCTCCTCTAGTTATTTTGAAGCAAATCCTATGCGTCTTACCATTCTAAGGGCATCTTACCAAAGACAAGACTACCCTTTTAGAACGTAACCATAAAATAATGGTAGTCTTTTTAAAAGAGCTGTGATGAGAGAAAGTACAGGCTTTTGGATAGGTTTACATTTGGTAATTTATTATTATTTGTTTTCAGTGAACTTGAGCAATAAAGTCATAATATGGCTGTTAAACATTTCATGCACAAGAAGCTCTTGAAATGGTGTCTCACCCTCTCTGCACACTTCACTGCCCACAGGCTTCCGTTTCTCTGGCTTAACTCCCTCTAAAATACTGGAGTGTTTACTATTCATTAGAAAAATGACTCTGTAATCTCAAGGTACCAAAGCTGAACTCACCCAGCTCATTTCTGTATCAATTCCTGCTACAAGGCCATTTCTGTTTTTAACTGGTTGGTTGAGCCAGATGACAAATGAAATCTGATTCATGTAAATAACAACATCCCATCCCTACTCCCTTGCCATTCCCCCACCCCCACCCCCCAAATCAGAGTTCTGGTTAGTGCCCAAGATGTACAACTAATAGCTCTACTATGCATGCAAGTGACTAATTTTTCATCTTCCAACTCAGGCTCCAATAGAACAGACAGAAGATTCATATACTCAAGAATAGTAGATCATGCAACAAAATTCCTAAACTTAACACCCAGGACAGTTAAGATCTAGAGATGTGGGAGGCTGAATAACGGCCCCAAAGACATCCAGGTTCGTACAAGTACCTTCTATGGCAAAAGAGACTTTGCAGGTGTGAATAAGTTAAGGCTCCTGAGGAGACTATCCTGGTAGACCCTAAATGCAGTCACAAGTTTGCTTTTGAGGAAGACAGAGGAAGATTTGACACAGAAAGAGGCAATGTGATTGTTGAAGCAAGATGGTACTGTGCTGGCTTTGAAGATGGAGGAAGAGGCCCTGAGTCAAGGAATGCTGGGAAAGTCAAAGACACCGATTTTTCTCTAGAGAATCCAGAGGGAATGTGGCCCGGAAGACACCTTAATTTTGGCCCAGTTAAGCTGATTTTACACTTCTGACCTCCAGAACCGTAAAACATAGAAGTGTGTGGATTTAGCCTACCACGTTTGTTGTAATTTGGTACAACTGCCATAGGAAACAAATGCAAGACGTCTTCACTGTCCTGCCCAAGATAATGGGGCCAAGTTGAGGTATAGATGCACTGGATCCCATGTCTTTTGATTCCTGTTTGAAGGAAAACAAGACCTACACTCCACTCTTCTAATGCACACATATGTATAAAATTGATATATGGCAATAAGTGCTTTGTAGAAAAATCAAACACCCTTGTCTTGATTTGGGTTCTGGACAAGCGAGAAGAAACCAAATCAGGAGAGATGGGGTGACTAACTTGAGATCCTACAGATGGTTATGGGCAGGTTCATAACTGGAATGCAAGAATATACTGATTTCCCACCCAGTGTCCTTTCATGCTGCATGGAATTATTTTCAGTCCAGCATTTGAGAGCCAACCAGAAAAGGAAAAGAGAGTCACTGCTGGGATTGTATAAGTATTAAGAAGATGGATGGTGGTTTTGAATGGGAAGGGTTAGGGGACTTTGAACTTTTCCATATATGAATATGAGACAGTGGGAAAGGCGAAGTGGCAGGAGGGGGACTGGAGGCTCATGCCAGGAGTTCAGACACGAGCCACACACAGCCAGGTGACCGTTTCCTGCCTCTCTGTTATGAGATGGCACTTATCCTAGATCCAATGACAAGAGCCTCTCATTTTGGGACTGAAGTGCTCCACCAGGTTTCTGTATCCACAACAGACTTCTCCGCTCCCCACAAAATGCCCCGTCCATAGCGTCTCTCCTTCCTTTGGAACCAGAGTGGCACCTGTGGCCTCCTTATTTTTAATAAGTCCACCGAGGAGAGAAAGAGAAACATTCCAAGAGAAGACAATGCAAAAAATAAACAAGATTTTCCTCTTTCTATGACTCAGAGAGAATTCTCAAAGGAGAATATCCAAGGATGTGTTTATATGCTACAGTGAAGATTGGCTTTCCTTGTTTATGAGAGGAAACATAAAGGGTACCTACAGCCTTTTGTGTGAACGAGCTAACTTGTGCTGTTTATTGTTTTTGCTTTTGCACTGCCTTTCTCAACTATTAGAATGGGACCTCTGGGCAGTATCATTGTCTTTCCCCTCCACATAGCCACAGCACTTTATATGGTGATTTGCAAATAGTACATGCATAACAAATGTTGGTTGCTAATAATAAAATGTAAGTTTACAATTTTTATTTTAAAAACCATTTGTATCTTAATGGAAGTTACTGATTTATTTCTCAATCTTTGCTGCATTTTCACATGAAACCCCTTAAGCCTTTTAGGCAAATCCTCAGTATTAATAGAAATAGGCTTTTAATCTGGATTATCATGAAGCAGTGAGATTTGATACTGTGTTTCTTGATAAAATTAGAGAGACATAAAGCTAGAAGAGACTCGAGCTTTGACTCTCAGGCAGATGCTGTCCTGGATAAATAATTGCTTATTTCATTTAAAATACTAGTATTTACTAAAATTTTAGTTATTTACACATTATATATGGCTATTTCTATGTCAATGTGTGTTATAAATGAATACGGTAAATTATATAAATAGTACAATAAGACACAACTATATTTTAAATCTTTTTAAAACCCTACACAGGTAGTGCTTTGACATTCTGGATTAGTTTGCTAGGGCTGCCATAATGAAGTGCCACAAACTGGCTTAAACAACAGAAATTGTCTCACAGTTCTGGAGGTTAGAAGCCTAAGGTCAAGGTGTTGGCAGGGCTGCTTCCTTCCGAGGCTGTGGGAGAGAACAGGTCTCAAGGTTCTTGCCTGGTTTCTGGTAGTTTGCTGACAGTCTTTGTCTCCTTGGTTGTAGAAGTGCTCCATCTTCACATTGCTTTTATCCCTGTGTGCTTGTCTATGTCCAAGTTTCCCCTTTTGCTAAGAACACCAGTCATGTTAGATTAGGAGTCTACCCTACACTGGAATGACCTTATCCTGACTAACGACATCTACAATGACCCTATTTCCAAATTAGGTCACATTCTGAGGTACTGGGAATCAGGAATTCAACATATGCATTTTGGGGGGACACAGTTCAACCCGTCAAACATTTTTTTAGTTAACCCATTTTTTTTTATATCTAACTAAATGATTTATTTCTTCAAATCAAATCCCATTTTCTTTCTTCCTTTTGGGGAAAGTGGGGCTGATCCATCTCCTTACCTATGATGGAGAAGGTGAACCCCTCCATTTTTAGTCTCACCCAAAGCAGGAAGAGTGACTAATGTAATCTGGTAAACGTTCTTTAGGACACGTTCTTGTAGGTGAGGTTATGAGACCCTAAAGGCAGGATCCAGGCCTGGACCTCCTCCTTTCCCTTGTACTTCTGTCATCCTGAAAACACACCTGCCAAGAGCTCTGGACTTCCTCCTGGAGTGGCCAGGCCTGGCCAGCTACCCTGTCTGGTCAGGCCTAGTGCCTCAGCCAAGAGGAAGCTGGCTAATGCCCCTTCATCATGCATTTATTCATTTCAGCGTTAGCGATGGAGTCCAAAGCTCCTTGCAGGCACTGCAGCTTCTGGGCCTAAGCCTCATGCTTACCAGTCACACTGCACTGGAGATAAGGGAATGGTTGGTTTTTACCAGGGTCTCTTCTGACAGTAAAGCCCCCTGGCCCACATAAGTGGGCTTTCTTTCAGCTAATGGTGAGGTCTTACACTTAGGGCTTGGGAGTCAAATAGTCAGATTCAGGGGAGGAGACATAGGATGCTTCAGTTTAGCCTTAAGTCTGAGCCTGGGCTCAAATGCCTTTTTGCCTCTGCATTGGGGTTCCTTGGGCACTCGATAAAATGTCAGAAAAGCTGGTATGTTGTTTCCCTGTGGTTCTTGTTTATCTTGTATGCACCTCTGATATAAACAACTCAGTGACATATAAAGTCTGTTGGCATCTTCCCCCATACCTCACTGCTGGAAATAAGTAGAAACATTCTCCCCCAAGAGTAGCACTACTCTCCAGTATTCAGCCAACTGTCCTCCACTTACTTATGGGGGCCATTGCTTCCTGCTCTCATCAGCCATCTTTCAGATTCCTGGCATCCATTGCTGGCTTTTGATGACTGTGTCTCCTCTGGATTCGTGATTCTATGGGGAACTTTCCATGAGTCGCTGACTTTAGAATCCCGCTTAATGCTCAGCTCTGAGCACTCTGCCTTTGACACGCTGTGCAGCTTGGCATAGCCTCTAACTTAAAAGGCCTCAGCTGTCTGGTCAGTCCTCCTTCTCCTTAAGGCAGGTCAGAGGGATGTGGCACCTCTGCTGTGGACTTCTGCACTGGGTCCTTTGCCACCAGGAAGAAATAAATGGGTGACGGAGGAGCTGTGCCTGCACCCTGTAGAATGACAGTGTCCAGCTTCCCGTACTCACAGCTTGAAGAGGGGTGGGTGAGACCACCAACTCTGCACCCACAGACGACCATCAGTCAAAGCCCTTTCCACACCACTGTTGCTCCCATATGCTGAGAGATGAGACCAACTGTTCCCAGCACCTTCCAACAATATTATACCAACATTAGTGAAGACTATAGTGTAGCATTGGCTGGCACCAGGCTTTCTTTTATTCTGAAGGTTTTTGCAGTGCTATGGTACAAAATCTGATTCCACTACCTTCCCTCTGGCTGCAAAAATGTATCTTTGTAAAGAGAGTTTTTGCGTCTGAAAATGGATTCTTGTCAGCCTTATCTTTCTTTATTCGTAGTCATGTTCCCTGGGGGAAAGAGGGAGCAGAAGGGGATTTATGTGATGTTTGTAAAACCCCATGTACATTCTAAAATGACAGCGCTAAGTCCTGAGCGCCCTGATTGAAAACCTCTGCCTTACAGTGTTTCTGGCTCTTGCTCCATCAGCTGTTCCTCCCAGACGAAGGTGGTCCCAGTCAAGGATGCAGAGCTCTCGTGCCATGAGGACAACTTCAAGATACAGACATGGTTCATAAAGCCTGGGTCCCTGCCACGCCGATACACTTGTCTTTCAAGCCAGAGGCAGCATGTCTTCCCAAGCTTATACACTCCGAACTGCAGTGGGGTTTCTTATGTCATCCACCTTCCTGATAGAAGATCTTGGTGTCTTTTGTGAAGAAAAAGCATTCTTGAGGGATCCCGCCCACCAGTCCTGCAGCCTGACCCTTCCCACTTCCTCAAAGACCTCAAGCCTCTCAAGTGCTTTCAACTCTCCCCTGCTGCTCTTCTCATTAGTCTTAACTCTCTTGTAATGATTCTCCATCCATTGTTTACGCTTTAAGGTCTCTTACTCCAATCTGTTTTCCACCAGCATTTAAATGTAGGCGAGACTTCTCCAATTTGAAAACACACAAATAAACAATCTCAGTACTGTGTCCCCCACTTTCTGCCCTGTATCTCTTTCCTGTCAAAGTCAGATTTCTTGAAAGAGCTGTTTGCATTTCCTATTTCCACTTCCATGCCTCTTATTTACGCCTCACCCCATGGCCAACAGGCTTCCATGAAACTACTTCAATGAAACTACTGCCAAGCAACCACAAAGCCCCAAGCTGCTAAACCCACCCAAAACTTTTGTCTCCTTGCCTTACTTGATCCCAGCAGCATTTGACACTGTTGGCCATGGCCTCCTTTTGGGGATGCTCTTTTGTTTCCTTCATTTCCTTGTGGTGCCCACTCCTCCATCTACCCCTTAAATATGGATTTCCTCAGTATTTTGTCCTACGCTCTTCGCTCTTGTCACTCTATGCCGTTGCCCTGGGTAGTCTCATCCCATTTGCTGTCTTCAGTTTCCATCCTTGTTATTGATGATTCTCAAATCTGTCACTCCAGCCTCTTTAGTGCCAAACCCAGAGAGCCACCAGCTTCCTAGACACCTCCTCCCAGCTGTCCAACAAGACTTTCAGATGTAACATTCTGAACCTGAACTCATTATCTTCCGCCCCACACCTGCTCTTCCTCCTATGTTCCCCCATCTCAGTGATGGACATCACC